GTGTAATAATTATGTGCTGTAATTAACTGTAAATATCCATAGTTAATGTGTGTTTAATACTATATAGCACGGCCCTTTGAAAAACAGACTGTATATATTATACTGAATAGGCTACCGTGTTAAAAGAAATTTTATTAAAGATTAAAGTAAATATAGATGTATTAATACATCGTATCCATGATGTTTGAAAGGCGTAGCTTAAAAAGTGGACGGGTATTCTGCAATCGCTCCAAAAGCAGTTGGGAATGGCGAATATAACTTGATAAAATATGTTAGATGTCATCACCACACAAGATATATGTGGGTTTTTTTTCATCTCAACCAAGCGCTAGCAATACAATCACATTTTAAAATCACCAATTGCGTGCGCAATACACTGGGAAGGCGCATTTAATAAAACTAGTATCCGCTGAATATTTGTTTAAGGGCGCGGGTCAATGATGCGTTCGACTATCAATGAGGAGTCCGACTGTCTACGGAAAAAAAATTTGCCGAGCCGACGGCGCGAAGCGCCGTGCGAGGGTAGTAATTCCCCCCGGCTATTTACACCCGGGGAAACGAAAGAATTAGCGAAGTCCAAAGTTCATCAATTATCGCGGGCGTGGGTGACCAACGTGGGTGGTCATCCTCACTGATCTCAAAAATATGGCGGACTGTCATGAATAGCGGACACTGATTGGTCCAATTTAAAATTGCATTATAACGACTGCATGACGACAGCGAAATTGCAAACATTTCCTGATTTGTTGATTGGTAAATTTCTTGCAAATATATTTCATTTTTGCTCGCATTTTTGCAAGATTTTGTAAATTTCAAGAAAGAAAGGGCGAAAGAATCGGCTAGAAGAAGGGAGCCGACGTTAACGAAGGTAAGTTTGTTTTAAATATTGATTATATAATGCCTTTAAAACCCGACGGCCTTTGCGTATATGAAACAGCTAAACAAGACAGCATATAATTTCAGTGTATTATTAATATCGATTCCCTTTTTCATTATATTGAATTTTTTAAATAAAAAAGAAAGCAACGTTGTTTGCAAACGAGAATTTGAAATCATTTTATTGCAAACTCAAAGTTTATCGATAAAACCATTTAATTAAAGGCAGTTTAGTTTTATAAAGAACACTTTAAAATGTTTTGCGAAGCGTTTGTGGTTGAATTGTACCTTAAATTGAGGCTTATATTATGTATAATAACATGCCTAACATATAAATGTTAGGCAATTGATAATTTTGTAATTAAAAGTGGTATTTTTAGCCAATTTTGGGCGATATTTCATTTTGTAAGAATATTCTTAAAAAATTATCGTGTCACCATGACAACTACTTTAGATACTTCGTGTTGGGAAAATACAATGGTTTTGTCAGCAAGGCGAGGGTTTCTGCATGCATGTATTTTCTAGTACTTTTATAATATTTTTTATTCTTCTTTTAGATGCTTCGAAGAACATGATATGATCGGACCTTGTATCTTAAAAGTGTACTTGGAACAGCCGACTTTGTTACCCTGTGTGTTGGGCATCATAATTCACAGGAATAGTATACAGTGGCGTTTAAACTGGCTTTGAAATATCCTGAATATTTCGTCCAGTTCTTTACCACCATGTGACCTGCAGTTTAATGTGGCACGCGCCTTTGAAAGGGCTTTACTTGGCTTTAATCGAAATGTAAGGTATGACTTAGGTAAGCAACATTTCTTTGTAATACAAGCTACATTTTCATATTTTTAATATGTGAATATTTTAAATTTTGTAAAAATTAATCGCAATATGTTGTTGGAGAAAGTATCGAGTGCTTCATAATAACGCTCAGATCTTGTATACAGATATTCGTATTTTATTCAAAATCTACCCTTTATAATCAGTTTTTTTACTCTTTTATGTTAAAGTATACATAATCCTTGACTTAATAACACGATGATCTACTCGATGAAAATTGGGCAAAGGGGCGATCTTTGCAGAGCAACTTGACCGTTCGGTGAAGTCGTTAGTTTAGAGACCCTATTTTCATTGTAGTATTTCGTGACAATTTGTTGGTCGATTTCTAGTTTATATTGTAGAACGGGTTCCTAGTGAATTTAATTAATTATCTATCTTCTACAGAGTAGTAATAAGCGCGACTCCTTTTTGTTGATGGATGTTGAATTCATTTTAGACTTTTTGTTCATATACAACAAGTACACTACCGAGTACTGAATCACTAGTTGCAAAGAAATTAGCCTATATCACCAACCGAAATTCAAGCTTATTTTTAAAGTCAAATAATTTCTCCAAGGATAAACGTAGTTTTTATGAAGTTAAAAATAGGGCAACTACGAATTTAAACAAGGTCAATTTGCACTTGTATATCTCACTTCGAAAAGATATAAAACAGGTATATTTGTACTGCGAAATTAAACTGCTGCAACAAAGTTTTATTTCTACTTTCACGTTCTTATTCCAAAGCAAACACTTCTAAGTTGGAAATGCCTAAAATTGTGAGCGTAGAAACACTAAAAAACCCCAAGAAAACGACTTCATAATACGAGTAGTTTTGGCAAATTTGGTGTTTGTTTTTAGAATTCAGTAGTAGTGTATAGGGGCCGGTTCTGGGCCATTTTGATGATAAACCCCCCACGCCCACATGTACAAAACCCTAAAACGCGCCTTTTGCACATCCTTCTGCGCACATTCCAAATATCGCTAAAAATCATCCAAATCCATTTTCAAAACCGCCTACATTACCTCCCACCCGATTCCATCCGCCACGATTTCCGGATTTTCATCCAGAAGAGATGCGACATCGGGCGCAGGAATCCCAAGGATTTCCCAAAAAAATCTCTTCCGAAATTCCACAAATTCTCCTCCAAAATTCCCACAAATTTTCAATCCCGGAAAAGACCCCGCCCACTCCACCAACCTCCACCCCGCGCGCCTGCGGCGTGGTTCCCACACGGTTGTTGGGGTCTTCATAACGTGTTCGCAAAGTCTTCCCAAAGTCTTCGCAAAGTCTTCGCAAAGTCTTCGCAAAGTCTTCGCAAAGTCTTCGTAAAGTCTTCATAAAGTCTTGAGCGCGCAGACAGAATCGATGCTTTGTGGATAAGATTTTTTTACGTTAACGTTACGTTGCGACTTAAAGGGAGCATTTTCCTTCTTACCAAAAGAAAAGAAATTATCAACTTCCGGAAAGCGATGGCCGACTATGGACATTCGGTGATTCTATAATGAGTTGCACACTAACTTTCTTGCTCCGCACCATTTTGTTATTTTACTTTCTGAAACTTAAGCTTTTGGCTGTACGTTTCAAACCAAAATGTGAGGTATCATTCAGTAAACAATTCTACGTTACTGGATTAAGCGATTCGACAGAATATAATGTGGAGTTGGCGAAAACATCCTGCCCTAGTCATGGCCACGAAACCAGTGAAGCGAATTATTTACTTCACGTTTGTTTATGGCTCGGAGTCGAAAACATTGGCAAGACGACTGTATCTACGATACTACAAGCAAAATCAGATATAACCACTCTTAGTTTACACCCAGTTTCTATGGAAATAAGGCAGTTGCAGCAAGACCATAGGATCAAAGGACAATCGTGCTTTCATTTACAATCGCCTTGTGTCAATTATAAAGCTATTAATGGCTATGCCTATGGTTATCGAATCATATCTGCTCTCATTACAACACTATCAGAAGGAACCTTTCCACGTCGTAAAACCTTTGCTCACAGAAAACCGAAAATGTCCGCTTCACGCTGTTTATATTATCCAAATTCGTGCGCTTCATGTCAACTGCTTCTGCAAGGAGGTGACATTTCAACTAATCTTGGACCAGATCAAAGCTCGAGAGCTAAAAAGACTACAAGTTCTCCACCGTGTCCTGAGTGCAATAAACGCGTTCAAACCAACCATAGACGTTTCATGTGCACTAAATGTTTCGACTTGTACCATGCTAAATGCACTAACATTTCTGTTGTTCAGTTAAAGAAAATCAAATCTGATACGCCCAAAGATTGGATATGTACTCAATGTTTACATACGCAATATCCGCTTAATTGTTGTGATGAAAAGGATATCTCTTTTGACTCTCGGCCATTAGTCGATGAGATTGACGGGAATCCATTATCTTCTGGGAGCGCAGACGAACACCACGAACTGCTAAGTAGCAGACCAAATCAATTAAACATTTTACATCTTAATACCCAGAGTATGCTTTCCACCTTCGATGAGTTACTGGTTACAATCAAAGAGTACTCATTTCATGTTATAGCGATGAGTGAAACTTGGCTCAAAAACAATCCACATTTACTAAATTACGTAATAATACCTGGCTACTCAATTTTGTATCGTAATCGTGATAATATACGTGGCGGCGGGATAGGAATCTACATAAAGGAATCACTAAAGTTCAAAAGAAGAGCCGATGTCGAGAAAATTGAACCTGAGTTAGAACATATTTGGCTAGAAATTAATGGCCGTACTAAGCACAGTAAACTACTTTTAGTAGTGATGTATCGTTCTAATCGTATGCAAGCCTATCAGACCTGGCTTGGTAAAACTGAAAATTTAATTAGCCAATTGAACATAAATTGGGATGGACTTCTGATGATTACTGGAGACTTTAACATAGATTTATTGAAACCTGAAGAGCTTATAGTCAAGCAATATACGGACATGCTGGATTCCTTTAATTTACATCAATTAGTAAAGATCTCTACTCGTGTAACATCAAAATCAAAAACGTTGATCGACCACATAATTACCAATATGCCAAGTCATATTACATATACGTCAGTGTTACCATATCCAACAATTAGCGACCACGATGCCCCGTATGCTTGTGTGAATATACGAGTAACTCGATTTCAGCCACGATTTTGATCCGTGATGAGAAACATTTTGATAACAAAGCGTTTATCGAAGATTTTTCCACATTACCATTTGTGATCCACTCATCTACAACACAGACGATCCTGACGACAAACTTGATCTTTTTAACTCCTTGTTTAAATGTGTTATTTGCTTCTCACTTTCATTAACTTTTGATAGTTTTATTTCTTATAGTATAATTCGTATAATATAAACTCATAACATGTATATACTTTGCCTCCAAAATCCCGTGTCCTACACTATATTTCGCGCCCTTCTTCTTCGTTGTCATTTTCCCCTGTCCGAGCAAATATAACTAAAATATTAATGTCAACAGTAAATGTCCAACAAAATGTTGTATCGATCGACATGCTCCATTGCGGAAAACGAAACTAACAAGACCTCCAGCACCATGGCTCAATTCTGAAGACATACGTCAACTCCAGACTGAAATAAATAAATTGAGATATCTAGCTCACAAAGCTCAATCGAATGTCGTATGGCAAGCCTTCCGTGATATACGGAATAGAATTAAAACCACTGTCAAGAAGTTGAAACGATCGTTTTACCAAAAAGCGCTGTCCTCTAAAAAGCCCAAAGATCTTTGGAAAATTATTCATCGCATTCTCCACCCGAATCCAAAGCCATTAAACATCGATCCAAATATACTGAACGATCATTTCAGTTCCACTACACAACGTGTCCTTGGTACAACTCCAACATCTTACGATAGCCTCGAGGAAATGATTGCTTCTCTACCATATTGCAGGGCTGATACATTTTCCCTGCGTAAAGTTACCCATGGAGAGGTATTGCAACTATTGAAATCAATGAGATCTGACAGTTCAACAGGACCGGATCAAATACCCGTGCAGTTTATCAAATTAGTCGCAGATATCATTGTCTCACCAATATCCCATATCCTTAATAAGTATATACTGAGAAACTCTTTTCCCTCAGCCTGGAAGATTGCCCGTGTATCTCCAATACCAAAGAATGATTCACCAACAAATGCAGACCATTATCGACCTATCTCCGTGCTTCCCGCGCTTTCGAAGATATACGAACGGCTTGCACTTACACAACTATTAGAATATATTCAACAACATCATATATTACAAGATACGGTTTCTGGATATCGGAAGGGACACTCAACAGGTACGATTCTGCTGCGAATTAGAGATGATATAATTAAGGCAATGAAAAAAGGCGAGATAACTTTGATTGCCTTTGCTGATTTTTCAAAGGCTTTTGATACTGTCGATTACTGCACCATCATAAAACGACTTCATGGAATTGGATTCTCATAGGGTGCTTTAAACTGGATCCTTAACTATCTCAGTGGCAGAAATCAATGTGTACAAGTTGATGATAAACAATCAGATACTCGTGAAGTTCATTTTGGTGTACCGCAGGGCTCCATTCTGGGACCAGTGTTGTTTAACCTCTATGTAAACAATTTACAAAATATCCTTGACTGTCCATCTTTTCAATACGCGGATGACACTACAATCTACGATCATTGCCTACCACAAGACTTTACTGACACCGTATACAAGATGAATGCCAACATCTCCAACTTGGAGGACTGGGCTACCCAATCGAATCTTATGCTGAATGGATCTAAGACCAAGCAGATGTTGATTACAACTCCGCAAATGTCCACATCGCACGTTCTTAGGGACATAGTTCCAACAATCACTGCCAATGGAGAAGTACTCGAAAGAACATCATCATTCAAAATTCTCGGTACATGGTTAAACGAACATCACTGCATGAAAAGCCAAGTGTTCAGATGTGAATACGTGTAAATATCAATTTGAATATGATGAATATTCACACGTATTCACTGATATTCATTGCGAATATCCTTGGAATATTAGTAGTATTCAGATGTGAATACCTTAGAATAAAACGCACCTCATATTCTCACCTAGAATACGTTTGAATATTGTGTGAATATTTTTCAAGGCATAGTATTCACACTTGCATACATTATTAAGTGAAATTGTGTGGATATTAAATAATCAAGATATTATTTTGAATAAATATGTGTAGGGATTGTGATTATACATCTAAGTTTTGCTAAACTGCGCATAGAGTACTTGCTTTCTGAGTCTGGCAGTTATCGAGAATTGAGATTCTACTTGGTTTGTTGACTAAACGACTGTTTGTTGACTCGACAACGCATTTACTTGATATACATGTGATATTTTGGTTTCTTAATACTTTCTATAATTATATATATATATATATATATATACAGTTAGGAACAGTTTGGAACAGTTTTTCCTTTTCTCAACAAATTAGACATCGACAAATTGCAGACGATGAAGTCATGGTATCATTCGATGTTGTATCCTTGTTCACATCTATTCCCACCAAACTAGCCCTACAGGTGATCAAACAGAGGTTACAACAAGACATATCGTTGACACAAAGAACAGACATATCCATTACTAACATCACAAAATTATTAGAGTTCGTCCTTCAGAACAGTTTCTTCACATATAAGAATGAATACACGCCGGGTCAGCTCTTCCCAAAAATCGGCCATTTGATATAAACTTTTTCAATATATTTCGGATGGACATGAAACTTGCTACATCAATATAACTTTCCATTCCGAACAATTGTATGTTTTTTATTTTTGAGATTTAACGGTTTTTGGCGGGAAAATGACGTCACGAAACCTCCAGTTAAAATTTACTTTCAATATCTTAATAGTTTTG